TTGATCTTTAAGTTGGGAGCCGAGCGCTTAGCCACTGCGCCACCAAGACTTTGCAAATACCACCCGGAATGCAAATCCGAGCACAGCCGGGAAAGCGAAGGCTCTCGGGCGCAGGCGCAGACCTTCCCCGGTAGTTCTGTTGCACTTTACGCATCCACTCTTCCCTGCAAACCTGAGTCGTCGCCACTGCAATCAAGGTTGGGCAGTCGTGGGGACAATAACTGGCCCCGCATACGAAACCCGGGATAATCAGGGACTTGAGTGGAAGGGTATTTGTGACCCTGGGAGTGTTGATGAGCGCTAAACCGAGCAACGGGTTTCCCTTTAATCCTTCCGGCTTCTCCAAGCGCCGCGCACTCAGGTTCCGCTCCCCGCTTGGGTCTCGCCTAGGGTGTGTCCTGGCGCATTGCCGGAGGTGGCGCGCCCGGGCCCCGGGTCCCGGTGTGGGCCTGGAGGATCTGAGGAGTGGTGGTGCGGAAGCACTCGGTTCCTTCGGAGGAGACGGGTGAGAGGGCAACGGGTGGGTGGGTTGCAGTTCCAGCTGGGAGGCGACGCAGCGTCTCCGGACAGCACCCAGCCTCGGTCTCTGCTGTCGTGACAGCCCGTGGTGTTTCCCTGGCTGAGGAAAAAGATCAGGACTGTGTTCCGCTCTCCTCCAGCTAGGCGAGGGAGAGCTTCTCTACCCCGAATTAGGATGGATGTTTCCAGCTGCTTACCGTGTGCCGAGCACTGACCCAAGAAATTATACCTGCGTTTAACTCATTTAACCTCGAAACCATATAGGATAATTATCCCAAATTACAGATAAGAAATTGGCGCACAGAGATAAAGTATCTTGCTTGAGGTTACAGAGCCTTTATTTTATGTGGTAGCTTTTATTTTATGGTTGTGAGGGTGGAAGATGGCACTTAAATACTCTAGGTGTTATTTATTGGGGGATGTATTAACAAATTCTATGTATCTTTGTGCGTGTATTTGTTGTTATTTTTTAACCAGTTTTCGTAAGCATCGTTGCCTGATGATCACCTTTTGGTAGAGCTGAAACTCTAGATTATCTCTGGTGTAGGATTGAACTGAGGCTGCCAAGGCCCTCCAGCTGATTTCTTTGTACACTGGCAAAGAGTCCAGGAAGCAGCCATCCCTCTGCCACAAAGTAAAGCACAGGGAGAAGAGCTATTTCAGAATCTGTACAACCTGGTTCCTTCAGAATGAGATCATTTCTTCAGATTGAAGAGGGTAGGAAATAAGGCAGAATTCTTCCTGGACCAGGAATTGCTTATAGGAGGAAGTGGCACAGTCAAAACAATTTCAGATGGTTAGTGTAACAGGAGGTGGCCAGGACTGTTAGGGCTGGAAAGTTAGTCACAACAGGAGAAGATAGGGTCTGCTGGTCTTACAGCACTGTGATCACTTTACTTAGAGAGTTGTGATTGGAGAGGTGATATAGTATCTATAAAGCATTAAGGAAGTAATGAGCCAATAACTAAAATATAAGGAAGGAAAGAAAACTTTCCACATCGTGGTAGGTGTACCCCATGGCTGGAATCTGGATAAGGGCATGACCCTGGCCTCATGAGTTAGTGGCCTCCTGGCTTCTCTGAAATATATTTGGGGACTTACCCTGAGATTTCTGTCACATCATCAGCCCTTCATTCCCCATTTTATGTGCATTCTTCAAAGCCAGGAAAAATGAAGCCGCTGTCCATACTCCAGACCAGCAGCTTCTAAAGGGAGCCTCATAAATGCCTGAGGGTACCTTTCCAACTCATGGTGACCCCATATACAATAGAACTAAACATTGCCCGGTCCTGTGCCATCTTTTTGTTCATCGGTATGCTTAAATCCATTGTGTGGCCACCATATATCTAACCTAGGGGGCTTATCTTCCACCACTATATCTGAAAATATTCTGTTGTGATCAATAGGGTTTTTATTGGCTAATTTTTGGAAGTATTTCACCAGGCCTTCCTTCTGAGTCTGTCTAAGGCTGGTAGTTCCACTAAAACCTGTCTACAGAGTTGACCCTGCTGGTATTTGAAATAAAAGTGGCATAGCTTCCAGCATAGCAACATTCAAGCCACCACACTATGACAAACTGACCAGACAAGTGGTGGTCCTTAAATGTACACATAACAATTTTCAAATTAATTAGTTTGAGGTGAGCTCAGCAATAATATAAACTCCTTAGGTCATGTATGATATGCTTTTTTTGAAATGCTGTGCCATCTTTTAACCTGTAGTGTTCACAAAACTACTAGTAACACTGTTTACCAAAACCCCAAAACCCATTGCCATGGAGTCAGTTCCGACTCATGTTGCCCCCTGTGTTACTGAGTAGAACTGTTCCATACAGTTTTCCTGGTTCTGATCTTTTTGCAAACCAAACCAAACATCGAGTCCATTCTAACTCATAGCGACCCCCATTGACTTTCTAAGGCTGTAAACCTTTACAGACACAGACTGCCTCGTCTTCTGCAGAGCAGCTGTTGGGTTCAAACTACTGACTTTTTGCCAAATGCCTTTAACCACTATTGCACCAGAGCGCCTTAATATTCTTGCAAAAATCAAACCAAACTCACTATTGTCAAGTCAATTCGACTCATAGCAACCCCTCCTTGGGTTTCCCAAACAGTATCTCTACAGAAGTAGATTGCCCAATTCTCCTTCCAAAGAGTGGCTGGGGGGTTTGAACCACTAGCCTTCTAGTTAGCAAATGCCTTAGGCACTACAGACTAAATTTTCAGAAAAGTGAGTGATTTGTCCAGGGATCACAGCCCTGTGATGGTGGAAAAGTGTCAGCTGCCTTCTGTTTTGACCCTCAGGAGGAAGTAAGGGGACTACTGTCATATTCCCTATGAACTCTTACCATATGTGAGGAAATTGACAAATAGGATGAATTATGTGCCTTAGATCACCTAAGGAATTTAGATGGATTTGGCTGAGAACCATCTCCTTTACCTTTTATAATCAAAGAACTAAGATCTTAAACCCAGACGTAAGTGTCCATTGTCCTTTTCTTTGCATATGGGAGGGGGTAGGACTACTTTTAGGCATTCATCTTACCTCTTAATACTTACAGTGCCAAAAGTGGCCAAAACTTTGATATTACTAGACTGGTGATTCTGGATGCCTTAGGATAAGACAGTCTTTTCTTTCCCCAGCTCTGCTTTTGGCCAAGAAGAATGTCTAGAGGAGGCAGAAGAGGGAAAAGTCACTGTCTACCTCCTATAAGATATATATCCCACATGAGTTTATGGTTCTTCCTTTTTTTTCTGAAAGTTTGTTATCTTGACAAGCAGAGACACATTCATTTATCTTTTGCTAGAACTTCCCTTCTTTGATGACGAGTGTGCCAAATTTTTGCAAGTGTGGAACTATTCCTTATTTGCCTGTGGACTGCTCTTAGTGTCTCCTTCAACTCTTCCTCACTCTATGTCATCATTAGGTGATTGAAGAAAACAGCCTTATTAATCTCTTTCTTGAATGGTTTCATTTGAAACATGGAGATTCAGTATGTCTCTGGAGATTTGAAAAATAGTAGGTTCATTCTAGTCTTACCCCTTAGTCTAGACAAATGAGTATGTGTCTCACAGTTTAGGATCTTAAATTAAACTGACAGGAATCCAATAACTTTGGACTAAACAATCAAGTCCAGTATCCTCATTTGACAGATGAGGCATAAAACCCAGATTGGTTGTTTTTCCCAGGTTTCCATGTAGCTACCAACAGAACTATGACCAAAATCCAGATTTTCAGATTGATGTTTTTATCATGGGGCCTCTATCTGATGGTTCACTGAATTGTACTAGGAAGCCATTTGCACTGAGGTGGTACTTCAGTGGAGTGTGGAGAATTTAATCCTTAGGTTATGTAGATAAGGCGTTGGGCAACTGGTGCTTACTGCAGCTTGGCAGGGACTACCTGCTAGGATTGCTAGAGTTTTAGTTTCTTGGCCATTTAGAGGCCACAGGAAAGGACAGTATGATACAATGTGACTGTTGTGAGGCAGTCAATTCTGTGTAATGTAGTGAGTTTGAGTCCAGGATTTGTCACATTGCCTTAGGCCAAATTACTTAACCTCTCTGGACCTCAAATTCTTCATTTGTGTTACAGGAATAATAGTAGTACCTCTCTTACCGAGTTGCTGTGGGGAATAAAACCGAAAAAACCAAACTCACTGCCATTAGTCAATTCTGACTCATAGCAACCCACACTGGGTTTCCAAGGCTGTAAATCTTTATAGAAGTAGATCACCCCGTCTTCCTTCCACAGAGCAGGCTGGTGGGTTTGAACCACTGACCTTCTGGTTAGCAGCCAAATATGTTAACCAGTACACCACCAGAGCGCCTTGCTGTGGGTAATAAGTAAATTAATATTCATAAAATGCTTAGAACAGGCAGACCCAAAAAAGAGCGTTTTCCAGAGACTTCACCTGCAAATTTCAGTAAGGTTCTTATATTTTTTTTTTAGGTAGAAACTTTACGCAATAGAGTTTCTGTGTCTGTCATATGTGTCTAGTATCTAAGAATCCTGATGTCCTTGGGAAGTTTTGGCCTGTCTGGCAGGGGAGGAATCTACCTGTTCTATGGGAAGCTGAGTTTGTGTTTAGACCATTCTTCTGGGACAAGAATGTTGGTGATGAGGCTGGCCCTAGCTTACACATTGTCCAGGCAACCCAGAGTGAGTTTTTAAGGCTGTTTTTGGACCATTTAACTTGTCAAATCACACAATCTGTTTACAACACAAATTCTTTGGGCCCATCCAATGTACTAGGTCTGAGGTAAGGCCCAGATATTTAGAGTAATAAGTTCTATAGGTGGTTTGGGGGGAGAGGTGTACCTATCTTTCTTTTGGAATCTAGTTTCAGCCCTTTCAGACCAATTTGCTTAAGTCCCTTCTGCCACAGCCCCTGTCATATATATGAAAGCATTGAGACTGAGCTCTGAATAGCTCTGTGTCTCCAGCATCAATAGCCTTGTGTTAAATCATTTCCAATCAGTAGGAATCACCGCACGTGAATTGGACATGATCATCCAATTGGAGGCAGAAGAACTGTGGATACTGGATCTTCTGGGAGCTGAATAGGAGAGGACCCAAAAACACCTGTCTAGGTGAGTCATGTAATAAAAACACCACCAAATTGATATTTATGAGACTTGTTCTACTCTCAGCTCTTAAAATTAGCTGGGTGATCTGGGCAAGTTACTCAACTGGTTCCCTATCTGTCGAGTGTGAGAATTGGCCTAGATGAGCTCTAAGTTCTATTAAACCTCTACTGGTTTGATTGTAGATTTGTTTAGAATAATAAGTAAATTAGCAAAAGAAGGGTTGAAAGGTAGATGAGGGTCCCAGTGTTAAAATTAGTGTTTGTGAAATTTTGTCCTCTCTCAGACATAAAATGGTTGCATTCAAGCTTGATAGAGACATCTTTTCTTTTTTGTTTGTTAGCAGTCATCTTTTCTACACTTGAGAGTCTTTACTTTTCTAATCCCTTTTCTTTCTCTCATTTCTTGTGACCAATCAGATAAAATAACTACTTGCTTATTTTACCATTTAATCTCTACTCTCTGCTTGTTGTTGTTGTTGTTGTTATGTGCCATCGAGAGCACCTGGTATATTTGCTTATTTCCATTTGGGGGCTTAGCATATTACCCAATCATTCTTCCCATATTCCATGATATCTTTGTAATCACCCACTGCAAAAACTCTGCATTTTATCTCTTCTAGAGTTGTTCATGTCTCTTCCACTGTCTCTCTTAATTTTCTCCCCAGATAGAAGTTGTTAGCGTGCATGAATTTCAAAGTAATTATCTTTTTTCCTGCTAGTTTGCTTCCCTTGTTTTCTACACTGGACACAGGTGACTTTTGCACTTTAAATGTCTTTCAGATAGGGAGAATTGAAGTGAAACCAAAGCATCAACTCCCATCAAGCTATTTCTGAAGAACTAGAGTTTTCAGGCCCAGCAATAGAAAATCTCAGAGGAAATATGAATGAAGAAGCCTATAAGAGTGAAGGCCAGTTATCAAGACATACACAAAGTCCTGTATGGAAAAAATCCTCTTTTGAGAAAACAGAGATAAAAAAAGTGTCAATGACCTTCAAGGAAATTTCCACTGGAAGGAGAAGCCCTGAATCCAGTGAATTTAGTCTGAGTTCAAACCTTGATACACAACAAAAAATTTCAAAGGGAGATAGATCCCACATATCTAGGAAAAACTCCAAAGATAAATTAGACTTAATTAAACATCAGAAACTCTTATCACAAAAGAAACCTTATAAAAGCAGTGGATGTAGAAAAGCCTTTAGTTACCAGTCTATTGTACACAGTAGAATTCACCATGGGGAAAAGCCTTTTGAATGCAATGAATGTGGGAAAACTTTTAGCCGAAGTACACACCTTATTGAACATCAAAGAACTCACACTGGAGAGAAACCTTATGAATGCAGTGAATGTGGGAAAGCCTTTAGTCGGAGCACACACCTTAGTCTACATCAGAGAATCCACACTGGAGAGAAACCTTATGAATGCAGTGAATGTGGGAAAGCCTTTAGTCGGAGCACACACCTTAGTCTACATCAGAGAATCCACACTGGAGAGAAACCTTATGAATGCAGTGAATGTGGAAAAGCCTTTAGCCGGAGCACTAACCTTAGTCAACATCAGCGAACTCATACTCAAGAAAAACCTTACAAATGTAGTGAATGTGGGAAAGCTTTCAGTGACCGTTCAACTATAATCCAGCATCAACGAATACACACTGGAGAAAATCCCTATGAGTGCAATGAATGTGGAAAAGCTTTCAGTTGGATCTCATCTCTTATTGAACATCAGAGAACACACACTGGAGAGAACCCCTATGAGTGCAGTGACTGTGGGAAAGTGTTCAGTAGAAGCTCATCCCTTACTGAACATCAGAGAATTCACACTGGAGAAAAGCCCCATGCATGCAGAGAGTGTGGAAAGGGCTTCAGTAGGAGCTCATCCCTTATTATACACCAGAGAACTCATACCGGAGAGAAACCTTACAAATGTAATGACTGTGGGAAAGCCTTCAGTCAGAGTTCAACTCTAATCAGACATCAGCAGCTTCACTCTAAAGAGTAATACCTGAGCTTTATTAATGTTAGCACAAGAGCACATATGCAAAACTCCCACAAATGGGGGGGGGGAATATGTATGTGTGTGTGTGTGTGTGTATATATATATATATATACATATATATATATATTTGTTTGAATTAGCATAGTGCCTAAGGCACTTAACTGCTAACCAGAAGGCTGGTGGTTCAAATCCACCACCACTCCTCGGAAGGAAGGTTGGGCAATCTACTTCCATAGTGATACTGCCTTGGCAACCCAAGGAGGGGTTGCTATTGAGTTGGGTCCGACTCGACGGCACATAACAACAACAACAACAACAATAGCTAACTGTAAGCCAGTTTCAAACTGTTTTTCTTTCATATTTTTAAACCAATGAGTAATCAATACATCAAGGGGATGACTTTAAAAACCTAACATACTGAATGTAACATTCTGGAGGGCTCCAATCTTAGAGTATACAACTGCCTCAGAGTTCCTCACCTTGTCTGTTCTATGGGTCTTGGGTTCCCAAAAAGAGCACTGGTGGCACAGTGATTAAGCACTTGACTGTTAACCAGAAGGTTGGCAATTTGAATCCACCAGCCACTCTGTGGGAGAAAGATGTGGCAGTCTGCTTCTGTAAAGACTGAACAAAACAAAATTCACTGCCATCAAGTTGATTCCAACTCATAGCGACCCTTCTGGGTTTCTGAGGTGGTGAATCTTTACAGAAGTAGATTGCCCAGCCTTCTGTCTGCAGAAGAGTGGCTAGTGGGGTTGAACCACCAACCTTCTGGTTAGCAGTCAAATGCCTTAGGCACTGCCCCACCAGAGCTCTTTCTGTAAAGATTACAGCCTTGCAAATTATACGGGGCAGTTCTACTCTGTTCTATAGGGTTGCTATGAGTCATAATTGACTCCACGACGGCGAGTTTGGTTTGGATCCCCAAACCAACCAGTGAATGCTGTTTCCTAACCACATCAGCTCTTTCCCTTACAAGTAATTCTTGTACATATGTGTGTGTATGTGTTTTCATACTTGCTGGCCCCGGTAGAAGAGAGGAAGCTGGCTTCAGGGCAGGACTAAAATCTTCCTACCAATTTGGGGACAATAGGATTGAGGCAAATTCTATTTCTGAACTTATAAGGACAAGTTTTTCTCTTCCTCCCTACCTCACTTTCCTGCCCCCACCTTTTGCTATAGCATAAGTTCATTAATGCATAAACAACACTAATACTGGTGTTACCACATCCTTCTTAATAATGTCCTAAAAATGTTAGAAATGTTTGGTTCTTCCATTATCTTGGAAAAAGAAAATGCTTCCAATTGCTACTCTATTTTTTTAACCTGTTTTTTGGTTACAGAATTCATGAAACTTACACCCTCTGGCTTTGACCCTTGCCAGTCTGGTAAGCTGATCTCTCAAAGACAAACTCAGTGCCTATTTATCAATCCTCTGCCTGCCTTAATGAGCAGAATTGGCACTTTTGGCCATTCTTTTTTTTTTTGGCTACTCTTATGCCTTAAAACTTGAACTTCTTCTGAGATCCACATTTTTTCTCTACCTCCCAGCACTTCTATAATTACAAGTGATCTGCTCTGTGACTCTGGGCAAGGGTTGTTGTTGTTGTTATGTGCCGTCAAGTCAGACCCGACTCGTAGCGACCCCTCCTTGGGTTGCCGAGGCAGTATCACTACGGAAGTAGATTGCCCAACCTTCTTTCCGAGGAGTGGCTGGTGGGTTTGAACCGCCAGCCTTCTAGTTAGCAGTCAAGTGCCTTAGGCACCACACTATGAAAGCTCCTTTGAACAAGGGTTAGAGCAGAATAATCTCATCTTATCAGGTTATGATACTTGAAATTATTCAATTAGACTGTAAGCTTCTTGAGGGCAGAAATCTTATTTTAGATACCTTTAAAACATCACAGAGTGCCAAGTAGACATTTAATGCTCTGTAATTAGTGTTTACTGATTGCTCTTTATCTCCTGTAATAAATTTGCTAGACTTACTTGAAATGGGTTAATAAGTGGTTCCTTTCTCTTTGTTCCTAATGTTCCTGTCAAATAGCCTCAATACTCTGGGCCTACATTACTAGAATGAACGCATTGTTGCTGTTCTTGTATCCCTGCCTTTAACTATCTGCCAGGCTAAACTACCATTTTGTTCTAAAATAATCCACGATTTTCCAGTGTCCCCACAAAAAAATTCAGACTCCTTTACCTTCAAGGCCTTCCACAGTTGGAACTATTTACCTTTATTTTCCATTACTCCTCAAAACAGAGACATAGTCCATGTGGGCAAACCTATCCTTTGTCCTCTTCTCATACTTGGCTTCATTTCAAACTCTTCCATGCCCTTTTGTGTGTCCTATTTTCTCTTGTGTATCTCCAGAAGTCCTATTCATCCTTTCTTAAAGGCCCTGATCAAGTCCTATCTGCTTTGTGATATGTTCAGTCTCACACCTTCTTAGAAATCCTTTGCAGTGATGGTTTGCATTATTCTAACTTCAATCAACACTTTCTTCTCCTGTTTTTAGGTTCTTTTGGATACATCTTTCTATAAGCTGTTTTGAAGTTAATAATTGTATAATTGTCCTAAATAAAAGCCCCAGGAAATAAATACATAGAACCATGCAATCTTGGAATCTAGTTTTAATCCAAATCAGGAGGGGTTAATTTAACAGTGCTATCTCTTCAGTCTTTCAAATGGTGAGAAAACCTTATGGACATTTTGGGCCCTTTTGTCCTACCTTGAATTATGTATATTACTTCCTCTTGGAACTGACTCTCCTTTAGAGTTCATGGAATGCTGGCCTCTTGTTTTTCCATTTCATGAATTTGTAAGGATTAAGTGAGTTTATTCATGTAAAGTGATGAAAACAGTGCCTGGCATACAGCAATTGCTCAACAAATGCTAGTTATGATTCCATTGTTTCACATCTACCTGTAGCCTTCCACTTCCTTGTCTGTGTGGTGTGTGATTCCATTATCAGTAATTACTAGAAAGCTGGTACCACAATCAAATAAATTAGAAGGCATTTCTTTTCACTATCATAATAGGCCATAGCTATCTATTTTATTTATTATAACTCAATCATGTGTCAGACACATGTGTCAAAGATGATAGCTTACAAGATACAATGAGTTAGAAAACCAGAAACATACAAATCAGCATTAAAGAAGGCAGAAAATGCCAAGTAGATCAAGATCAGGGTAAGTTATGATATCCTACACAGTTATTAAGAGATGTAAGGTGAGCATTCAGGCAACCAAAGTGAGAAGATCATTTGTTTATGTTCTATTTGGAGGGGGCATGGGAAACAGTGGTCCATTCCTCAAGGAAAACAAAACTTTTTCTAATACTTAGATTTAAGATGCATTTCCCCACAGGCCTTCATACTCACAGAGTAATTATAAAATACCCTCAGTAGTAAACATATTATGTATCCTCCAAAACACCAGTGAGTAAATATTTAGTTTATAGTAGAAGGCCCAGAGAAGGCCCACAGGTTAGAAGGAGCAGCAGTATATTAGATAATGAAATGTTAGTGGGTGGCCAAAGATAAATTCTTTGCATACAGTTGGGTCATTTAATTCACTACAGGTTAGACTGAAGAAATTGAAGCTTGTTGTTAGCTGTCATTGAGTTGATTTTTGACTCATAGTGATACCATGTAATAGAATAGAACTCCTCCATAGGGTATCCTAGGCTGTAATCTTTATGGAAGCAGATCACCAGCTGTTTATCCCATAGAGCCACTGAGAGGGTATGAACCACCAACCTTTGGGTTAGCAGCTGAGTACTTAACTTTTGCACTACTGGGGCTCTTAATTAAAGTTTACAGATGTTAAATAACTTACCCAAGGGCCAGGATTTGTCCCCAGCTCTTCTGATTCCAGTACAGAACCTCTTTAGCTGAACCCTGGTAGCTGGGCAAGAGCTGGAAAGTAAAAGGAACTGTGTAAGGAAAGGCATGGAGATGGGAATATGCCCTCAGTGTGTTGCAGTAGACGGTGGAAAAACTGGATTTGCCTCTGGCGTTCAGTGATGTTAGATGTGAGAAAGTTGATTTGGAATTGGGTAACTGTGTGATGGCAAGCCCTGAATACTACATGTTTGGTTTTCATATTTTAGGCAATGGGGAATGACAGGAGGTTTTTGATCATGATAGTTTCACATGTGGGGAAGAATCTAGTACAGAAGACAGGACAGTTTAGAAATAAGAGAGAGAGCAGGCAGACACTAGGTGGGAAGTTGGGGTCTTAGAATGGTTGTACTGGGAAATGGAGAGCAGTGGACAAGAGAAGGAAAGAACCAGTGAAACTGGTGACTAGATATGAGGGAGAGGGACCTGTGGCTACATTCCTTATTTGGTATTGTTACTGTAACTTCCATGTAAATTACTTAGGCAGGTAGGGAGGGAACCTCAGATACACACTCAGCAATACAATATAGTCAAGAACAGTAAAGTCCAGGCTGAATGGCTGGTTACCTGCATCTTTAACAAGAAGTCAATAAGGAGAACCAAAAATTTATACTGAGATGACTGGTGGAGAAGATGAGCAAGAGGAGTGGGCAGCCCTGTTTTAAGGAAAAACCAACCAAACTCACTACTATGGAGTAGATTTCCAACTCATAATGAGTTCCATTGGGTTTCCAAAGCTGTAAATCTTTGTGGAAGTAGATTGCTCCATCCTTCTTCCAGGTAGCAGCTGGCAGGTTTGAACAACCAACTTTCTGGGTGTCTGCCAACTGCCTTAACCCCTACACCACCAGAGCTCCTTTTAGGGAGAAACAGATGTAGCCAAAATAATTGTGACTAAGATCACACGGAAGCGGAGCCTCTTCAACATAATCTAAATTACACGGGGCCCCATCTAGGCGCTGTTCCGCGAGCTGCGAGTTTTCTCGGGTGGAGTAGGAGAAAGACTTCGGTTGAGGCTCACCTCCATTCGTCGTGGCTCACTGATACCTACCGACCCCACTCATCCTTCAGGATTCTCATTGGGGTGAGGAGGTACGTGAGTGCGGAGACCTCTTCGGCTGGGACGAGACCTCTGGGCTGGACGTGCTCCTGGC